GTTCACACTCTGCCTGTATTAACATAAATGCTGTATTTTAATATAGCTAATTTTGATTAGCTTTAACTGACAGCCTTTTCTTCTTTTTCCGCGGTTATGCGGCATTATATTTCACACGCATATGCAAGGTGACTGAATATGAAATTAAAATACAAAACTTACTGAGCCATTAAATAAAAAAAGAAAAAACAAAACCGTTATACTTTAAAGCAGAACATTGACGTTTTGAAACAAAAAAACGGAACTGAAACTAAATTATTAAAAATAAACCTGCCAGACTTAATTTATGTCCTATTTTCATTATTTATTTATTTTCATTATTCGTTTATTATTAAGTACTATAATTGAAACATAAAATGAGATAGTAAAATATAATCAACAACGAAAATGTAAATAAAAACGTAAATTAAAAACATAAATGAAAATATCTTGTCTTAGTCCTATCAAAATAGCAAACTACATCTCTCTATATTTAGACTAAAAGACTGCTTTATTTATTTATTTATTTATTTATTTATTTATTTATTTATTTAAGACTACTTATTTGTACTGAATGTTTGTGCTTTCACTTTAGTTGTCTTTCATTTCTTCAATTCTATTTTCCAAAACGAATCCTCTTTGCACTTAAAAAGTTTACAATAAACCAGGTAAACAAATTTTAAATGTAAGTTGAGGTGATCGCAAGTTCACAACTGTGAGGTGATGTGCTCTACCGGCAGAATAATCTATATTATTTTGCTGTTTTTTATATGCGCACGTTTAAGATTTGAGATAATAACATTGCCATGATAGTCAAAGAAATCAAAACATTATTTTCACCCCAACGCAATTTAATCGGGCACTGGAGGCTAATAACTTAATTCTTATATTTGCTTTTTGACTTCTCACCATGTATCTTTTCTGCAGCATAGTATAGTGTAAGAGCATGTCTATTACCAGAAAAACTAAATTAAAATTATATTTTAATTGAACACATCACATCACATACAGTAAGCTACGCCTACAGAACAGTATGTTTAGCATTGTGAAAAGGCAAAGCTGAATATCTGTGGTTAAAGTGCCACCCAGCGGTCAAATGCTGCTGGCGCATCAAGTACCGCCGTCGCCGCGGTATGAATGGCGGCACAAGAACACATTGAAGTAGTAACATCTGTAATCAGTCATTTTTGGCAAACAGTTGAGATATCCAACAAAGCCAGACAAAAAAGGACTGCAGTATGCCCTACAGGGGTATATTCACAACATAATAGCAAATGATTCGAAAATTATTTAATCAAAATTGAAGCTAGGTTATCTTAGCCGCCTCATACACTGACCATTCAACAGTTTAGTTCATGCACAGCAGAAGAGGTGACATTTAAAAATGACCTACTAATAACTAATAAAACCATGATTTATCTTTTTTAGCCAAAAAGCCTGATAAACTATTGTTCTGCAATAAAATATAGCATTACTAACCGATGAGGAAATACGTATGGACAAATCAAATCAAATCACTTTTATTGTCACATCATCAGCAACACATGTGCTATTATGAGTGAAAAGCTTAAGTGCTGGCTCCAGACAGTACAAAATACAAAGAGTGCGAATACAACGACAGTGCAAAATACAACGACAATGTAAAATTGACAGCGATATGTACAATGAATAGGTGTCCACATGGTTGTAGGCAGTATTGTTTCATATGTGGATTGGTTAAAGTGCTGTGCATGCTACATATAGATTGGTGCAGTGAGTGGTTTGGAAGAGAGTCTGTGTGGGGTGTGTTAAGTGTTCATCAGCCTGATAACCTGAGGGAAGAAACTTTCCTTCAGCCAGCTGGTGCGTGATCAAATGCTGCGGAACCGTCTGCCTGAAGGCAGCAGTAGAAAAGTCTATGGCTTGGGTGACTGGAGTCACTGATAATTCTCCTCATGCACCGCCTGGTGTAGATGTCCTGGAGGGAGGAAAGCTCACCTCCTCCTACGCGTCCAGCAGTTCGCACAATCCTATGTAGGCCTTTGCGATTTTTGCTAGTGCTATTCCCATACCAGGTGGTAATAGAAATAGAAGAGACAGGATGCTCTCCACAGTGCAGGTGTAGAATGAGGATGTGGCGGCTCATTCCAAACCTCCTGAGATGCCTTCCTCAGCACCGCGTCTGTGTGAGCAGTCTACGTCAAATCCTCAGCGATGTGTACTCCAAGAAACTTAAAAGTGCTGACTCTCTCCACTGGTGTCCCATTGATGGTGATGGGGGTGTGCTCTCTCTTCTCTCTCCTGAAATCCACCTCCAGCTCCTTGGTTTTGCTGATGTTAAGTGAGAGGTGGTTTTCCTCACACCACTGTGTCAGAGTGTGCACCCCCTCTCTGTAGGCCGTCTCATTATTATCTGTGATTATGCCCATCACCGTTGTGTCATCAGCAAATTTAACGATGACGTTGGAGTGTTTGGTTGTACAGTCATGTGTGTACAGGGAGTACAGGAGAGGGCTGAGAACACAGCCCTGTGGAGCACCAGTGTTGAGAATCAGTGTGGATGATGTAATATTGTTCATTCTGACCTCCTAGCATCTGCCTGACAGGAAGTCCAGGATCCAGTTGCACAATGAGCTGTAAAAACAGAGAGCCTGGAGCTTCACCCCCAGCTTGGCAGGCACTATGGGGTTGAATGCTGAGCTGTAGTCCACAAACAGCATTCTCACATATGTGTTTTTGTTTTCTAGGTGAGACAGAGCAGTGTGCAGGGTGAAAGTAATTGCATCATCAGGGTAGCATAATCTAGTTTATATATATAGTATATTGATTGCAACTGCTCAGTTTGTGATCACATCTTGGTTTTGTTCTGTTGAAATGTAATTTCAAATATTCGTAGCTTGAAACAGATGAAAATATGACTGCTATTAGTATGACTAATATGGCGAGGGCTTAAGTGGAGCAATTCTCATAATATCAAGCGGAGAAAAAAAAGACATCTGGAAAAGACAACCTGATTTGTATTTTTGTAGGAAACCCAGTTTAGATGTGTGAGTTATTGACCAATATTGTTATCGGTCTATCACTTAATGTGAATATCGAATACAAAATCAACTTAACTCCGCTCTTTTAGCACCTCTCACAGAGCTTGATCCACACTGGCATTTCTCCTCTTGGGTTTTAGGTTTTGAAAAGGGAAAAATTTCACCACTCTGTCCAAACTTTAAATACCGGGTGTCAGATTTGCACAATTCATATGCACAACGCTTTGCCTTGTTTCCCTCACTCGAAAGCTTGACAGAGCCCCTGCGCATAGCTACGGTTGCTAAGCCACGATTGGTGGGTGGAGGTTTTTGGATGTGGCTTAGCGAAGGGTCAATTGGGTTAGCAGCTGAAAACAAGGACAAATGAACCCTTTCTGATACTCTCAGATGTTTAAAGGAATCATTCACACCAAAAATAAAAATGTACTTACTATGTACTCATCTTTAAGTGGTTCCAAGCCTTAATTAGATTCTTTCTTCTGTTCAACACAAAGAAAGATATTTAGAAGAAAGCTGACAAGAAACCTGATAATGCTTTTACATTATCAATTGCTGATGTCATGTTGATCAGAATTTATTATTTTTGCCTCTGTTGAATATTCTCACTCCCCACAACATTAAATTGTTTGTTCATGGCGTAAATCTTTACATATAAAATAGCTGAACAAGTTGTCATATATTTTGTCATAAAGCGTTTTTTATACATTTCCAATAGAATTTTTGTCCTAAATCTGTCTACTGTTAGTTAATTTCTACCAGGTAAATCTTGAGTTTTTAATGAAGGTCCTAAACAAGGTTGTCCTGTTTACATTTCTACTTTTGTTTTTTCTTTGTGCTGTCTTTTCCTTTCTGTATCACAATGACATGATCTGTCAACAAATCACAGTACAAACAGCCAAAAAATATTGCCATAGTATACATCAGAACAGCCCTTCAGAGTACACTGATATTGACAACATGACTACTAAGTAATTTGACTGTCTTATCCATACACAATGACTTGTCGTTATGAAGCCACTGACATGCTCATCGACACCAAAAAAAAATGTTTTGAGAGATGAACTAAAGATTTTAAGCAAGAGACTTTTTGCAGGTAATCTGTGGTGTTTTGCAAATTTTATGCATTGTTTTGAGAAACGCATTTAGGCCTACTGTTTTGCAAATTTCAATTCTGATCTGAGAAAGTGACTGAGAAAAACTTTTACATTTATTCTATGCTAAAAGCAACATAAATAGGTGTAAATACAACCTATAAAAGTGTATGGTCATTTTTTCACGTTATAAATTCAGGATATTTTGCATTATATTTTTCTTATCATAAATTGCCCAGTGTAGTTACTTTTGTTGTTGTAAAATATTTGTTAAAAAATATTAGATTAAGACAACAGTATAGACCTTTGTAAAATCAGATTAGATTGAGAGCCAGTGCAGTATGATCGGACGTGGACAAAATGTTTAAGCATTTACACAGCCTGTTGTTGAACTAGAATGTGTCTTCCTGGTTTACCTTTGATCTGATCGAGCAGAAGGTTTCTTATTACTCTGTAAACTGGGCAGCATCAGTCATGTTCGCCGACTCTCTCTCTGTCACATTTGCGTAGTCATCATTGCCTTTCTCATAGTATTCTTCATGAACTAGCCCACATACGGTGCATGATAGCCTTGAAAAAGCCACGCACTGCAGCAAGCAGGCGCGCATTGAGGAAAAATAGACTGATTGCATCAAAAAGTAGCTCATATTATTGCGCGATGATAAGTAATAATATGAAAACGAAAGTAACGTGCGTGGTTTAAAAAATGTAAGAAGTAGAAAGTACAGATATTTGTGTAAGAAGTAAAAGTAAAAAGTTGTCAGAAAAATAAGTAGTAAAGTACTGATACCAGAAAAAAATACTTAAGTACAGTAATGAAGTATTTGTACTTTGCTACTTCCCATATTTGTAAGTAAATGATGACGGAATTTTTATTTTGAGGTGAACTATCCCTTTAATATGTCCACAGGGCTGCCATGATTTTTCCAGGGAGTTGTACCAGAGTCTTCGCACCCGTGTGGCCTCCGAACACTTTTACTTCTGGCTTAACAGTCTGATGGAGTTTTCCCAAGCGGAGCAGTGCCTTAGTGGCCTGGAAGATGGAGACTACAGTGCAGCCATGAGCGCCATCTCTGAAGCACTGAAATCCTACCAGAAGGGAATCGCATCTCTCACGGTCAGGATTCACTTTTATTTATTTTTTGTCTAGTGATGCACCGATCTTGATTTTCAAACTGATTTCAATGGCTTGACTCCAAAAGAGATTAAAATTTTTTTCCTCTTTAATTTTATATTTTATTATGAAATGTAAAGGAGAGTGATGAATTAGTAACACTAGCCACATTTCCACTGTCAGGCCAGGGCAAGCTAGGGCTTTTATCGGGCCGGCCCGTGCCAATCGCCCAGAAGGTTGAGCAGTGAGGCCGGAGTCATGTCGCGTTTTCACTGTCGAGCTAATAGCTTGTAGCACGTCTCGTGAATCCCGCCCCCAGAATGTCCCCCGAATCAAATGTCACACAACCCGCCCACTTCAGCGAGAATCATGCAGATAAAGCACATCATCGCATCATCGCCGAAACAAAGGACATGTGACTGTACAGCATCACATTATGTTTATACGCACAGTCCTATGTGTTTCCATTCATTATTTACTCACCGACCGACTGTTGGCATTGTGAATTGAGTGGTTTCGCCACTAACGGAGGGACCCAGCGCAGTGAGCACACCCATCCATAATATAAAACAACAGATATTCTCTGGTAATCACTCGGATGAAATGTATTTTTATAACATTCTTGTTTTGATAGATGTTGTTAAACATTCAGCCCAAATTTTGAAATGAGAGACCCAAAACATATGAATTTTTCCCTAGCCTATATGACACTTAATAGGTAATTCCCCTTTATTTAAGGTTGCTGCATATTATATATATTTTTGAAACATTTTCCTCCCTCCTCTATCCTCCTCCTCCACCTGCATCCTCCACACTAACTACTGATGACTTTGCTACATTCTTTTACACCAAAACGGCAAAAATCAGTGCTCAATTTACTGCACCTACAACAAACAGGCAAGATACACCACCACACACGCTCACCGCTTTTTCTCAGCTCTCTGAGTCTGAGGTGACCAAACTAATGCTATCTAGCCGTGCAACCACCTGACGGCTTGATCCCATTCCCACTCATCCATTGCAAGCCATTTCTCTTGCAGTCATACCAACACTGACTTACATAATCAACACATCTCTTGACTCTTTGTTTGTTCCCCTCTTCATTTAAACAGGCTAGGGTAACCCCACTGCTAAAGAAACCCAAACTGGATCAAACGCTACTTGAAAACTACAAACTCTGTAGTATCCCTGCTTCTAATCATGGCTAAGATTCTGGAGAAAGTCGTGTTTAATCAAGTCCTGGACTTTCTCACTCAAAACAACCTCATGGACAACAAGCAATCTGGCTTTAAGAAAAGCCACTCAACTGAGACTGCCCTGCTATCGGTCGTGGAGGATCTCAGACTGGCTAAAGCAGACTCTAAATCATCAATCCTCATCTTGCTGGATTTGTCAGCTGCTTTTGACACTGTAAACCACCAGATCCTGCTATCTACGCTTGAGTCACTAGGTGTTGCAGGCACAGTTATTCAGTGGTTCAGATCTTACCTCTCTTACAGGTCATTCAGGGTGTCTTGGAGAGGAGAGGTGTCCAACCTACAGCATCTAAACACTGGGGTACCACAGGGCTCTGTTCTTGGACCACTTCTCTTCTCCATCTACACAACATCTTTGGGATCAGTCATCCAGAAACATGGATTCTCCTACCACCTACCACTGCTATGCTGATGATACCCAGCTATACCTCTCTTTTCACCCTGATGATCCCTTGGTTCCGGCTCGCATCTCAGCCTGCCTGTCAGACATTTCACACTGGATGAAAGATCATCATCTTCAGCTTAACCTCACAAAAACAGAAATGCTTGAAGTTTCTGCCAACCCGACTCCACATCACAACTTTTCAATCCAGATGGATGGGGCAACCATTACTGCATTCAAAATGGTGAAAACCCTTGGAGTAACGATTGATGACCAACCAATCTTCTCTGACCACATCTCTAGAACTGCTCAATCGTGCAGATTCGCACTCTACAACATCAGAAAGATCCAACCCTTCCTATCTAAACATGCAGCTCAACTCCTTGTTCAAGCTCTTGTTCTTTCCAGACTGGACTATTGCAACTCTCTACTAGCCGGGCTCCCAGCTAACTCTATCAAACCTCTTCAGATGCTTCAGAATGCAGCAGGACGAGTGGTCTTTAATGACCCTAAAAGAGCACATGTCACTCCGCTACTCATTCGTTTGCACTGGCTGCCAGTTGCTGCTCGCATCAAACTAAAAGCACTGATGTTTGCTTACGAAGCGATTTGTGGCTGCACCCCTTCTTATCTGCTCTCACTTCTGCAGATTTATAGGCCTTTTAGAAACTTGCGTTCTGTGAATGAACGTCGCCTTGTGGTTCCATCCCAAAGAGGGAAGAAAACGCTTTCCCAAACGCTCGCACTCAATCTGCCCAGTTGGTGGTTTGAACTCCCTAACTGCATCAGAACCGCAGAGTCACTCGCTGTCTTCAAAAAGCGACTAAAAACTCAACTGTTTAGTCTCCACTTTCCTTACTAATATGCATCCTTACTAATATCGGCTAAATGACTAAATGTAATTGTAAATGTAAATGTAATTATTCTGCGATCTTAAGTAAAGGAAAGTGTTAAGTGTTTCAGCACATAAGAGCAAGTAAAAAAATAGCCTATATTTTTTTGCGCTCAGCAGCTATTCACTAATAAAGCTCTACATTTATAATTTTCTAATTAAAAAACAGAAACACTTGTTTGAGGACATAGAACAAATTTTTTCTTGCAGTTTTCCCTAATGCGTTTATAAAGCGGCGCTGTGCAGGACAGTGTGACAAAAAAAGGTTGTTTCTGCTTTCACTCACCCTAAAAATGCTTTGTTTGCATGATTTGGTTAATATCATCTTATCCAAATACTTTAAAAATAATATTTTAAACCTCATCGGGTGTTTATTTTTTTTTAGAAAATATCTAAAATATTTTTTTCAGATAGGCCTTTATAAAATGAAAAATATATAAGGCTCAAAAACGGTTTGATTTCTGCATTGTATATACCTACATTGTTATAGTTAGCTTTTGCTTGTTTTATATTGGTTTATTTATTTAATGGGATTTTATTATATCCGATATTTGTAATTCTTTAAATTACATTATAATTATAAATTAGGATATTTATAGATGGGTGAGGCAGTGGCGCAGTAGGTAGTGCTGTTACCTGCAGTTTGCATGTTCTCCCTGCCTTCGCGTGGGTTTCCTCCGGGTGCTCCGGTTTCCCCCACAGTCCAAAGACATGCGGTGCAGGTGAATTGGGTAGGTTAAATTGTCCGTAGGGTATGAGTGTGTGTGTGAATGTGTGTGTGGATGTTTCCCAGAGATGGGTTGCGGCTGGAAGGGCATCCGCTGCGTAAAAACTTGCTGGATAAGTTGGCGGTTCATTCCGCTGTGGCGACCCCGGATTAACAAAGGGACTAAGCCGAAAAGAAAATGAATGAATGAATGAATATTTATAGATATGACACTATTGTTTTGAGCCTACAAAAGTGGACACGTGATTTGTAAAGGTTTATGTCTTTCTTTTGTATTCATATTGTGTATTATCTTCAAAATAAATTAAAAAAAGAAATAAGCGGCTTGCGGCATCAACAGAGCTGTGAAGGGAACACTCTTTCACCCAGCGCCTCACACACACACAGGCATCTAACATGCACGTATCATGCACTAACACCTTTTAAACTTGACAAAAACTCTCGACAACCTTTACTGGCTGCTGTGTCTTTAATATGGTGTAAAAAATATCACTTATAAATTAAAACTTTATTATTTTGTGTAACAGCCTTACATTTACAAGGGAAATATAAGGGCCATCATAAGAAAAAAGACCCCTAGTCTAAAAGGTGTTTCATGGAATAGCCTATATATCTTAAACTGACCAGCTATGTTTTCTTTTCGTAATTCCCCTATTTAAATATTTGTTTGGCACATGTATTTGTGTGCGTTCGCAAAAAAACTAGTGTAATGGCATCACGCCATCTTTACCAGACTCGGGCAAGGTCTGCCTCTTCTCTACCCTGAAGCCCCAGCTGGCCCTCTTTGGCCCAAGGTATTTTGCGGGCCAAAAAAGGCCAGCCGCTGGCCCCGAGAAAGTTCCGCTCAGGCCCCAGAACTGACAGTGACAATGAGACTGGCCTTGGCTCGCCCTGGCTCACTCGCTTTAGGCGTGAGAGTGGAAACGTGGCTACTGCGATGGTTAGGAGGCCATGATTGGCTAAGGCCATATATGGCCTAAAAAAACATTCTGAACTTTTCTGACAGTTAGACAATGGGTTCCACTAAAGACTATAAAACACATAAGATGTGTCACTTATAAAGTTTTGAAAGGAGGAAAAGTGTTATGATCAATATGTCGCATGAAGCCTTGCTAACTAGTACAGGAGCCAATCATTGATTGCTATAGACCAGGGATCACCAAACTTGTTCCTGGAGATCTAGTGTCCTGCAGATTTTAGCTCCAACCCTAATCAAAGACACCTGAACAAGCTAATCAAGGTCTTACTAGGTATACTTGAAACACCCAGGCAGGTGTGTTGAGGCAAGTTGGAGCTAAACCCTGCAGGGCACCGGACCTCCAGGAACGAAATTGGTGACCCCTGCTATAGACTGACAATTCTCTGGGGGAGGGGCTCAGAACAGGCACGAGTTTCTGAGAATTTTGTGTGATTCGAACGATTAAAAATAAACTCAAGAGACAGTTGATGTTTAATTTAATTGGTGATTCCTAATAGAAAATGTAATCATAAGCTTGGCAAACAAATTTGGAGAAATCTATGTTTCCCCATTCAAACAAATTAACTAAGCATTCTGAGGCATTTCAAAGATGGCTACGGACTGAAACGACTTGCCTTTAAGTGATTTTGGTTCCACTGATTATGGTTATGGCATTATTATGGCATTACAAATCTGAGAATATTTTTCCTTTATTCCAAGTCATAGAATATCACAGATTTTTTTTTTGTTGCTTTGTTTGTTTGTCACGTTAAATCACATTGTTTTATGACTGTTGTAGGTTACCATGTCAGGATAATATGCATTGTAGGAGCGTTGGCTTTAAAATGTCTACTTCAAAGATAAAGTTAAAAAGTAGGTAACAGAAAAATGTCAAATTTGTAATTTTCTCAAGCTATTAAATATGGGAGAGGGAGCACTTTACAGTCATTCGAACAGAAAGTGCCTCAAATTATATCCAAATCTGAGGTAAATTATCCATTGTTGTTCTCATAGTGACTGTTAAAGTCAACACAGGCTCATTGTGGATACATACCCCATCTACATTTTCTCCATTTTATCTGTAAAATGAACGATACGGGGCGCTATGATGCCAGCAACAGCTTCTGTTCCTTTTCAAGCTACCATTGACCTCTTACCTTTGTAGAGACAGCTTTTCCATTGTTACCAGTTTACCCAGTAGCTCACTATGTATGCCGATGGTCTTGGGATGTGGAGCGTAGTTGACCACAATGACGGGATTCGAGTCTGGTAAAGAACGGTTCCAGAAACTATCTAAAACAAAATAAATTAAATAAAAAACAGGCTGAAAATGTGGTGAAACCACTCAAGTCTGTGATGGCTTTTCTTTTTCTAAATTGCTTTTGAAAACACTATCGGCTGGGCTTAGGAAAGGGGGTGGGTGGGTCCGTCAGTCGACAGCAAGCTGGCCTGGTCATGTGAAGTAAATATTGCGCTTGCAGGTGGATTTATGCAAGAAGAGGATGCACAAGTGAAATTCGAGATCATCAATAAACGTACATAGCGGCCTCTGGTGAATTTACAAACACTGCAAAAATATGTATTTTCGGTTACATTTTTTGGTGTCCCCAACAATGTAAACCTGGGTATGTATCTGCAATGAGCCCGGGTTGATTTAAAGAGCCCAAATCTTGCATTTAAAAAGGTAATATTTTTGTTTTAGAGGTCTCCAACAACAGGCTAATATGCGTTCAAGGTTTAAAAACACTTTCATTGTCTTATAATATGCATTTATTTTTACCTAATTATCCCAGCAGCTCCCAAATGAGTTGTTCAGTGATTTATTTGTTCCCAAACCCCTCCTTAACGCGAAGCTATTCTGCAGTGATTGGTCCAATGACCCAGTCTGTTGCATTTGGTTGACTGCATTCAGCACGAGACTACTGTATGAAGTGGAACAAAGTATGTGAGAGCCCATTGCAGAAATGCAATAAAGCAATGCAGTTAAACATCAGCATATTGCTCTACTCTTAACCTTAACCCCAAGCAATAACAATGACACACCTTTAGTATTAATCCACACAGTGGCAAAGTTGAACTATTTAAAAAATTGACTATGTGTGTGTAAAAACAGCTGATGGTGGCCATAGCAAAGGCAAACAGAAGAGGATCGCCCGTTCAAAAACTCATTTAAATCGGTAAAGAAAGAAGCACAGGTCACATTTTTACCATGGTTTTGGACGTGATATGTGAACAGACCTATACAACTTTAACTGTACAGTACAAGCACTGATCTATAATCGATTCGTGATTACAAGCTGCGTGGGGTGATTACAACTTGTTACAGACAATTAAACACATATTTAGCAAACTACACAAAATGAGGCGCAATTTTAATGACACTTACATGTTATGATCCGGAGTAAGAAGAAACTGGTCCATTTGAACTGTAAAAGTTACTGACAAAGTCTGACAAAGACCCATAGTCTCTTCTGCTCCTTAAATAGCAAAGGCTGTCGAATTCCGCGTTGCAGCATAGGTTATTGTATCAAAAATCAGAAAAATGACAGGAACAAACACAGCACTAGGTTGGCTATACTGTGGTATTGTTGTGAAAGTTAACTTAAACCCTTTATTCCCCACAGCCGAATCGCCATCTGTCAGTGATCTTCATCTTCGTGTCATTATCAGTCCCATGATCCCCCGCGCCTTCGCTAGTGTGCGGAGGGAAAGCGAGTGCACATTTTACTGGAACTGAAAGTACATATTTTGTGATGTACCGTATCGACATCGATGTGATCAAACAAAAGATCCGAACCCAACTCGATTAATTTATTTGACTCTGAGTCAAATATATCACTAAAGAATCAATAGTTTTAAACATGCTGCTCTTTTAGATTTAAACCTCGGCTGGATGTTTTTGTTCACTTAGAGCTGTGTTACACACTGCATGGAAGGTCATTTTCAAAAACCCATAAAAGGGGCTCTTTAAAGTCCTGCAAAATGATATTTAAGCTAAAATGATCCAGTACAGTATATATGTTGTTTAATCTGCTTAATCAAATGCTCTGTTTACACATTGTGTACTTTTAATCGGCTAAATTAAAAGGGAAAAACTAGTTTGAAGCATTTGGAGAAAAAAAAAATGTCCAGTTTTGATTTCTATTGGGTAGATCTTTGTATGCTGTCTTGCTAATTTTTCTGTTATTTTTAGCTCTTTGTGACTGACTCTAAATGTGTTTGATCTTTAGGCTGCCAGTACGCCGCTCAGTCCGCTGACATTCCAATGTGAGTTTGTGAAGCTGCGTATAGACACTCTTCAGGCTCTGTCTCAGCTCATTTGCACCTGCAACAGTCTGAAGACCAGTCCTCCTCCTGCCATCGCAACCACGATCGCTCTGTCCTCGGGCAGTGACTTGCAGCGCTGCGGACGAATCTCCACACAGGTGCCCAAACACACGCTCCTATTTCTGCTCTTTTTCCTATTTTTATTTATTTAATATTTTATTTATATATATATTTTTTACTTGTTTAGTTTGATCATTTATTTGTTTATTTACATGTATTTATTTATCCATCTGTTTAAAGTTTTATTTAATTTTTATTTATTTTATATTTTAATTATTTATTATAATTATTTTTTATATTTTTATTATAATAAAGTTTATCATATATTTATTTACATGTATCTATTTATGTGTTTAATGTTCTATTTATTTTATTATTTATTTATATTTATTTGTTTATCTATTCATTTATCTATTTTATTTAATATTTTAATTATTTTTTATTTGTCTATTTAATACTTTATTTATTTTTATTCAGTTATTTTATTTGATTGATTATTTTATTTATTTATTCATTTATCTATTTGTATATTTTAACTTTTTAATTTATTTAATTATATCATATATTTATCTAATTTATTTAATATTATGTTTATTTTATTATTTATTTTTTTAAATATTTTATTTATTTTTATGTATGGTTATTTTATTTTTTTATAAATTTATTTACATATTTAGGTATCTATTTAATGTTTTTTTTTGTTGTTGTTGTTTGTTTGTTTTTTACTTATTTATTTGATTTTTGTGTACATTTGCTCAGATGAAGTTTTCCATGGATGAGTTTAGAAGTCTCGCAGCTCGCTATGCTGACCTGTACCAGTCTTCGTTTGATGCGGACTATGCCACCCTTCGCAATGTTGAACTGTATCCTTTCTTTCTTGTAGAGCAGTGTCTCTACAAGATCTAGTTACAAAAAAATCATCTGTACTTTTCTTAATGACTTTTTTCCTAGACAACAGCAGAGTTGCTTACTCGTATCTTATGTTATCGAAGCTTTAATAATCGATCCACAAACAGCCAGGTAAAAATGCTATGCTACTATCCCACATCAAATTCAAATAAGAAAATAGGATCTTAGTTTCTGGCCTTAAATGAATTGTATAATAGATTTTAGTTGTAATGTCTCAAAAAGTGCACATTTTAAAGACAACATCCGGTTCAGTTTCCAGGAGTTTGGCACTCATGGATCAATTCTGGCAGAGAGCGAGTATGAGCTGAGAATGATGGCTGTGTTCAATCATGTCCTGGAGGAAGTGGAAAATCTAAGCAGGAAACACCCTCCTGTTTCTTACCTGGTACTGCGTTTCTAAGAGTATCCATCAGCCAACTTATACTGACTGCAATATGTCTGGAGTCACTTTTCATGGATTTAATTACATAGTAATTTTCTAAATTTGTCATTTCGGTCTGTTTTAAGCACACCGGCTGTCTGTGTGATACTGTCATAGCCATCCTGAAAATACCACTGTCGTTCCAGAGATATTTCTTTCAGAAGCTTCAGTCCACCAGCATTAAAGTGAGTGACCTGTACAATGTTGTTTAAAAAAAAAAAAAGAATATTAATAATGTTTACACTCTAGTTTCAATTTTATTTAGTCTCAACCTTAACTTTAGTCTTTACTCTTTTTTTTACGCAATATACTTATATAGAATGCAGTTATAAATATATACATACACATACAAATATATAAAACATACAAATTTTTTCTTTTTATATTAAAAAATTGATTTTTTTTTTTAATAAGGTTAAAATAATAATGTATTTGTTACATAAACATTACATTTATTACTGTATTCATCTATTTTACTTTAGTTATAAATTCATTTGTTTATTTGTTAGTTCTTCTTAACTAACTCACGTTGTTGGGCCTCATGGTGGTGCAGTGAGTAGCACTATCACCTCACAGCAAGAAGGTGGCTGGTTTGAACCCCGGCTGGGTCAGTTGGCATTTGTGTGTGGAATTTGCATGTTCTTCCCGTGTTTTGCATGGGTGTCCTCTGGGTGCTCCGGTTTCCCCCACAAGTCCAAAGACGTGCTTACTGCTTATAGGTGAATTGGATAAGCTAAAAATTGTCTGTGGTGTATGTAAGTGAGTGTGTATGAATGTTTCCCAGTGATGTGTTGCAGCTGGAAGGGCATCCGCTGCGTAAAACATATGCTGGATAAGTTGGTGGTTCATTCCGCTGTGGTCCCCCCAGATTAATAAAGGGACTAAGCCTAAAAGTAAATGAATAAATTATATGTATGTGGAGTCTAAATTGTTCATTAACTAGCAGTTATTGTAAATTAATTCCAAATATCAAATATTCCAAGATATGCAATGTTGAGTCTGAATTATACTTGACCCGGGGCTACAGAACACATGATTTGAAGTTTAACTATAATATAGTGAAGGTTTATCATTTGCATGTGTTTTTAAGGCCTGTGAGTAAGTATTTCAGAAGAGTTGGACAGAACATTTGGACAGAAAAAATTAAGACTTTTGGAGGTGCATTTAATTATGAATACAGAATTTACACGATTTAAGCAAAAAAAATTTAAAATCTTATATTATTGTTGTCCTGTTTCCAGTCCAAATATGTACATTGCAAAGCAACATTAGCAAGATTAATTTACTTACCCCTTTGGCAGATCATTTTGCTTGTTTTAAGGAAAAAAAAATTATTTTTGATTTATTTCGTCTGAAGTCGAAAACAAAACAATATTTTTTCTTGACCTAAGAACTTTTAGATATTTGGACTAAAAATGAGACAAAGCAACGTATAAGGATTATTTGCTTTGTGATTATTAAATTGTTGTACCTAAATAGTGTTAGACTTCAAGGAAACCATAAAATAGAGTTATTTAAACCATTTTGTGATACTGTATCCATATCGCAATATATTGTTGCAGAAAAATATAATATTGCAAGATCAGATTTTTCTAATATTGTGCAGCCCTAACCTTTTCCTCAATAAACTACTTATTTGCTGCTTATTATTAAAAGTATAGTAGTAATTGAGTTAAGAATTAGAGATTTAGATTAAGATCATATTTTAGAAGTACTAATTAAGCCAATATCTAATTAATATGCAGGTACTAAGCCAGTAGTTAATAGTGTGAATTGTTAGACAAACTAAAGTGTTACCTGTACATTAACTAGCCGAGCGTTATTGTAAATTGTTTCCAAATATCTAAAATAAGCATATTTATTTTAAAAAAAAGTAAATGTCAAAGTTTTAACACTGAGATAATAGTTATTAAAATTCTAGTAATAAAATAAAGTCAGTTGTTTATGTACTAAAGATTCGAACACTTGTATCTATTGTTATCATGGAAAGTCATGTAAAACATCTTTTGTGTCTAATTCTTAGCTTTAGTTTCAAGAGTTTCAAACTGTCTGAAAGAGGAGTTACGTTTATAAAAACTATACATGTTTTTTTTTCTTCTTCTAGCTTGCTCTCTCTCCATCTCCCCGCACACCCAATGAGCCGATCCCAGTGCAGAACAACCAGCAGCTGACCTTAAAAGTGGAGGGTGTTATTCAGCACGGCTCCAGTCCGGGACTCTTCCGGAAGATTCAGGCAGTCTGTCTTAAAGTCAGCTCGACGTTACAGACAAAACCAGGATCAGACTTCAAGGTGAGCTCAACACAGAGTACAATACTTACACTCATTTTATTTCTTATGTTTGTTCCTGATGGTCTATTTCAATCTCAATTACATTTTATTGCAAATAAAATCAAGCCAAATTAAAGAGAAGAAAAGATTTAGATGATTAAGAAAAAAAGAAATAGTTTGTCCTTCTAATCATTAATTGAAATCTGAAATGCACTTTCTGTTTGTTTTTTGTTATATTAAAAGTTTACGTGATTTTGAGGTAATGAGAGTGGCAACAAACAGAAATGGTGAGCAGGAGGTGTCTGTTAGAATGTAATAATTCTTCCCAAACTTTTTCCCCCATCTTCCTTAATGAAATGCCTACTTTACTACTCCCAATCAGCTCACAGTAGAAAAAAACAAGCCACACCCACTGTTTTCTCATTTAACATTCAATTTTTCAAGGAAATTCATCACAATCTGAAAAAAATAATGATAGCAGCTTCCGTTTTAAGAAGCATTTAATACTTTGTTTGGGGAGTTTAGAATAGAGTTCACTCCCGTAAACAAACACCTTATAAGGTCTGTTCACACCTACATTTACATTTAGCCCCGTTTACACTAGTGCGTTTTAGTTTTAAAACAACGTTTTAGAATAAAAACAATCCACAGTAGCGTTTCACCCAGCGTTTCTGAACAGCTCTTCGTCTACACCAAACCACTGAAAACGCACATCAGGTGACCACACACACACACACACACACACACACACATTGGCATGCGCTGCAGCATATCCACCCAGATGAGAGCTGTGCTCGTCAAACTGTTTATCAAGGATCTAGGCTACCGCTGGATCTAATCTCACTATATTTGCTAAACATGATATTTAATACACTTTATTTTCTCACTTTAACATCGAGACCAGCAGCCTGTAAGTACATTTAAGACTTGTTTCAGTTGTTGTGTATGGTTTGAGGACTTGTTTTCAGCTGTTTGTGTAAAGTTGTAGGACATTTAAACTTGCTTTCAGTTGTGTATAATACTACAAGTGTTTAGCCACTGTTTCCTTGGTTACTATAAGAGCTTGGGTAGCGAACGCGGTCGGTTTCGCGACGTCCGCCTCAGTTTCGGCCCTTGTTTTGACTCGGGAGGCGTGTCCAAACGCCAGGTAACCACTATATAGTGAGCACGCTAGCTTAGTCGGCAGGAGAAGCACTTTAACATCGAGACCAGCAGCCTGTAAGTACATTTAAGACTTGTTTCAGTTGTTGTGTATGGTTTGAGGACTTGTTTTCAGCTGTTTGTGTAAAGTTGTAGGACATTTAAACTTGCTTTCAGTTGTGTATAATACTACAAGTGTTTAGCCACTGTTTCCTTGGTTACTATAAGAGCTTGGGTAGCGAACGCGGTCGGTTTTGCGTCGTCCGCCTCAGTTTCGGCCCTTGTTTTGACTCGGGAGGCGTGTCCAAACGCCAGGTAACCACTATATAGTGAGCACGCTAGCTTAGTCGGCAGGAGAAGCACTTTAACATCGAGACCAGCAGCCTGTAAGTACATTTAAGACTTGTTTCAGTTGTTGTGTATGGTTTGAGGACTTGTTTTCAGCTGTTTGTGTAAAGTTGTAGGACATTTAAACTTGCTTTCAGTTGTGTATAATACTACAAGTGTTTAGCCACTGTTTCCTTGGTTACTATAAGAGCTTGGGTAGCGAACGCGGTCGGTTTCGCGTCGTCCGCCTCAGTTTCGGCCCTTGTTTTGACTCGGGAGGCGTGTCCAAACGCCAGGTAACCACTATATAGTGAGCACGCTAGCTTAGTCGGCAGGAGAAGCACTTTAACATCGAGACCAGCAGCCTGTAAGTACATTTAAGACTTGTTTCAGTTGTTGTGTATGGTTTGAGGACTTGTTTTCAGCTGTTTGTGTAAAGTTGTAGGACATTTAAACTTGCTTTCAGTTGTGTATAATACTACAAGTGTTTAGCCACTGTTTCCTTGGTTACTATAAGAGCTTGGGTAGCGAACGCGGTCGGTTTCGCGTCGTCCGCCTCAGTTTCGGCCCTTGTTTTGACTCGGGAGGCGTGTCCAAACGCCAGGTAACCACTATATAGTGAGCACGCTAGCTTAGTCGGCAGGAGAAGCACTTTAACATCGAGACCAGCAGCCTGTAAGTACATTTAAGACTTGTTTCAGTTGTTGTGTATGGTTTGAGGACTTGTTTTCAGCTGTTTGTGTAAAGTTGTAGGACATTTAAACTTGCTTTCAGTTGTGTATAATACTACAAGTGTTTAGCCACTGTTTCCTTGGTTACTATAAGAGCTTGGGTAGCGAACGCGGTCGGTTTCGCGTCGTCCGCCTCAGTTTCGGCCCTTGTTTTGACTCGGGAGGCGTGTCCAAACGCCAGGTAACCACTATATAGTGAGCACGCTAGCTTAGTCGGCAGGAGAAGCACTTTAACATCGAGACCAGCAGCCTGTAAGTACATTTAAGACTTGTTTCAGTTGTTGTGTATGGTTTGAGGACTTGTTTTCAGCTGTTTGTGTAAAGTTGTAGGACATTTAAACTTGCTTTCAGTTGTGTATAATACTACAAGTGTTTAGCCACTGTTTCCTTGGTTACTATAAGAGCTTGTGTAGCGAACGCGGTCGGTTTCGCATCGTCCGCCTCAGTTTCGGCCCTTGTTTTGACTCTCGAGGCGTGTCCAGCTGAATTCAATCAGCTAACGTTAGTGCTTTGGGGTTATATAAACAACTAGTTCACCGCGGCAGCCTCGTGTGAAGACCGCCTCGTGTGAAGACCGACGAGTGTAAAGACCATCGACTCTACCTGCGCGACTCCACCGAGCAAAGACACTGACAAAGCACTTGAGTACTTTACTTTCTTTCTTTTTTTTACTTTATCTTTTGTTGTCAGTGCACTTTTAGTATGTGTCTTCTAATTCCTGTTGTTACTAACACTCGCAAAACACGGGAGGTACGCTGCAGGCGTAATCCTCACAATCTTCGTTCAATACATGTATCTGCTATTTCACAACTCTCTCCGTGGGCCTCTGGAACTGTCAATCAGCTGTTAACAAGGCAGATTTTATTACCTCCATAGCTACATATTCTGACTATAATCTCATGGCTCTAACTGAGACCTGGTTGAGGTCGGAGGACACTGCTACACATGCTACTCTTTCTGCTAATTTCTCTTTTTCCCACACTCCTCGTCACACAGGGAGAGGGGGTGGGACTGGACTACTAATTTCCAAAGAATGGAAATTTACTCTGATACTGTCCCTGCCAACAATCAGCTCCTTTGAATTCCATGCAGTCACCATTATCCACCCCTTCTACATAAATGTGGTTGTCATCTACCGCCCACCAGGTAATTTAGGTCACTTCTTAGATGAACTGGATGTTCTTCTCTCATCTTTTTCTAATATTGACACTCCCTTGTTGGTGCTAGGTGACTTCAACATTTACGTTGACAAACCGCAAGCTGCAGACTTTCAGACTCTGCTTGCCTCTTTTGACCTAAAAAGAGCACCTACCTCTGCTACCCACAAATCAGGTAATCAGCTAGACCTTATTTACACACGACACTGCTTCGCTGATCAAACAATAGTAACTCCACTACAAATATCGGATCATTTCCTTCTGTCTCTCAACATCCACATTACTCCTGAGCCGCCACACACTCCAACACTGGTTACCTTTCGCAGAAACCTACGATCTCTCTCACCCAATAGACTATCCACCATTGTTTCAGACTCTCTTCCTCCATCTTGCAAACTCTCTGCACTTGATTCGAACAGTGCCACTGATACACTCTGCTCCACACTAGCATCATGTCTAGACCAATTATGTCCTCTTGCATCCAGTCCAGCCCGTGCCAGTCCTCCTGCACCCTGGCTCTCGGATGCTCTCCGTGAGCATCGCTCAAAACTTCGAGCTGCAGAAAGAATTTGGCGGAAAACTTAAAATCCTGCACAGCTCTTAACATACCAAACTCTTCTGTCCTCTTTCTCGGCTGAGGTTACTTCGGCAAAGCAGACATATTACCGTCTGAAAATCAACAATGCCACTAATCCTCGCCTACTTTTTAAAACATTTTCCTCCCTCCTCTATCCTCCTTCTCCACCCGCATCCTCCACACTTACTACTGATGACTTTGCTACATTCTTTTGCACCAAAACTGCAAAAATCAGTGCTCAATTTGCTGCACCTACAACAAACACGCAAGGTACACCACCAACACCACACACACTCACCTCTTTTTCTCAGCTCTCTGAGTCTGAGGTGTCCAAACTCGTGCTATCTAGCCATGCAACCACCTGTCCACTCGATCCCATTCCCTCTCATCTCTTGCAAGCCATCTCTCCTACAGTCATACCAACACTGACTCACATAATTAACACATCTCTTGACTCTGGTTTATTCCCCACTTCATTTAAGCAGGCTAGGGTAACCCCACTGCTAAAGAAACCCAACCTGGACCATACGCTACTTGAAAACTACAGACCAGTATCCCTGCTTCCATTCATGGCCAAGATTCTGGAGAAAGTAGTGTTCAATCAAGTCCTGGACTTTCTTACTCAAAACAATCTCATGGACAACAAGCAATCCGGCTTTAAGAAAGGCCACTCAACTGAGACTGCCCTGCTCTCGGTCGTGGAGGATCTCAGACTGGCTAAAGCAGACTCTAAATCATCAGTCCTCATTTTGCTGGACTTGTCGGCTGCTTTTGACACTGTCAACCACCAGATACTGCTATCTACGCTCGAGTCACTGGGCGTTGCGGGCACTGTTATACAATGGTTCAGATCTTACCTCACTGACAGATCATTCAGGGTGTCTTGGAGGGGTGAGGTGTCCAACCTACAGCATCTAAACACTGGGGTACCTCAAGGCTCTGTTCTTGGGCCACTTCTCTTCTCCATCTACACATCATCTCTAGGACCAGTCATCCAGAGACATGGATTCTCCTACCACTGCTATGCTGATGATACCCAGCTATACCTCTCTTTTCATCCTGATGATCCCTCGGTTCCAGCTTGTATTT